TGCTTCTGCCAGTCTTTATTTATACACATTCATGTGTTTCAGCTCCACTGAAAATATGTTAGGCTTAGTGTGTCTCGTTATCAAAATCATAATGAAGTGAAATATAAGCCCGTACAATCTCAAACAGTACAAACAAACATTTTAAACATATTACAGATATACAAAGAAGGATGTTTGTCACAGCACAGTGGTGCAGTTGTTAGCAAAGCATACAATCGGTCCTTTCCAATAGAACACAGAAAGTAGAATATCTAGACGAATCTAACCAGCTGACCTCAAACATCAGTTATTCTTTGCGTATCTCTGGTGTCTTTTCACCACTGGTTTGTACACACATACAGAAAGACGTTACTATGACATCTACTTCAAATGTATCATGTATCACAGCATCATCCTGTAGACCAGGGGTAGGCAACTCCAGGCCTCGAGTGCCAGTGTCCTGCAGGTTTTAGATATCACCATGGGTCAGCACACCTGAATCACATGATTAGTTCATTCCCAGGCCTCTGGAGAACTTCATGACATGTTGAGGAGGAAATTTAGCCATTTAAATCAGCTGCGTTGGATCAAGGACACATCTAAAACCTGCAGGACACTGGCACTCGAGGCCTGGAGTTGCCCACCCCTGCTGTAGACCAAGGATGATGCTATGATACATGATACATTTGAAGTAGATGTCATAGTAATGTCTTTGAGACACACTATTCTAATGTGATATTACATTTTTAGCAAATTTATAACAAATGAAACGAAGCACAAATTCAAAGCTTTTTTCATTTTATTTTATTTAATTTTATTTTGTGGTTTGGCGCTATTTCTTAACTTAAAATGTCCTGTTGTAATTGGACATTTTAAGTTAAGAAACAGCGCCAAACAACAGCAACACTTCCTTTATATTGTGCTTTATATTGTAAGGTCAAGACCCTACAAAAATACACAAAAACCCCCTAAGAGCAAGCACTTTGGTGACAGTGGGAAGGAAAAGCTTCTTTTTAAAAGAGAGAAACCTCCGGCAGAATCAAGCTCTAGGACGGGGTGGCCATCTGCCATGGCCACTTGGCGATGAGGAAAGGAAGATGGGAGAAGAAGAGTGGTTATTTTCAACCACTCTAGTTTTAAAATTCAATTTAGATCCCCAATTTAAATTAATATTTTAAGCCAGTTTAAGTGTTTTGTCACATAATCGCGTGCGCGTGTCAGTTAAATTTTAGCGTGCGCAAGAGAAAACCCTAGAGATCATATTTTGTCTCTTCAATGTGGCATTTTTTAAAGGTTTTGATGATACTTAATCAACCATTGGGTCACTTGACTTCATTAAGAGTATTGGAGGAGGCCACCTGTCATGGAGTTCATTGTA